CAAACTCTGTTGACTGCTTTCAACATGTCCAAAGCAACAGACCAAGCTTCAACATTCTTATCTAAAGCTTGATAGACTCTTTCTGCAATAATCGTTAAGACATCAGCAGTTGAACTAGAGAAATGAAAGCCATATTGCTTATCTGAAAGAAGATCCTCCCAGGTGAAATGCTTAACCAATTTAGACTTAGTTCTGTCTATATTTCTGAGATTAGGTACTATTTACATTATTCAGACTATTGTTCTCATCTTTGTTGCCATATTTATTACAACGTTTTGGCCGTTGTACGCTCCGGCCTTCTTCAGGTGGTTGGAATGTTGAACTGAATCCTTTATTTTACTCACTGGGGGAGACTGTTCTAGTTCTACATGCCATGTTTAATGGATATCAGTTATCTCCTGTTAATTTCCCTCTCCAGGTCCTTGAGGACACATGGTACAGTGGATAAAGGTGTTGGTTAGATCCAGTGACAGGACCCAAAGAGTGTGAATTCAATACCTGGTTAAGGCAGTGAAGATCTGGAGAGGGGAATTAACAGGAGATAACTGATAACTGACATCCATTAAACATGGCACGTGGAACAGTCTACCCCAGTGAGTGAAATAAAGGGTTCAGTTCAACATTCCAACCATCTGAAGAAGGCTGGAGTGTACAACGGCTGAAACGTAATGAATATGGCAACAAAGATGAGGACAATTGTCTGAATAATGTAAATAGTGTTCTAGTACTTTGCCAAAAAAAGGTAGAATGGTTAGGCAGTTCATCTGAGTTCATACAGACTACCTTTTCAACTTCAAAATGACTTATTTTCAGGTAAAAAAATTAATCAACTTCAAATTGGAAAACTTCAAAATGAGAAATAATCAACTTCAAATTGAGAATTAATATAATACTAATAAATTTAATATTTATTCTTTTATTTTTACTTAAAAGGGATATAAAAAAATATAAACGTTCCTAAGAAATTTATTTAAAAGATTACATCATCTAAGTTAATTACAGAGGGAAGTAATCTCTGTATTCCATATACGAAGTTAGTGCAAGTCTCAGGGGAAATATTATTAATTGCCTTGGAGATCATCGCTTCTAACTTGCTGAGGCGAAATTCTTTAGTAGTTAAAGATCCCTGGTCATCACCTCTTAAAATCCCAACTTCTTTTTACATCAGCTTTAATAACTGACCAAACCTTTTCAATGGGATTTAACATCAGACTATAGGGGGCAAGTCTGAAAATTTGGTGTTGCCTTAATTCATCCTCCTCCACAACTTCTTCAATTGAAGTATGGCAAGGAGCGTTATCAATAACTAAGACAACTCCTCTTTCACAAATTTCATTTGCCTTTCTAAGGCACTCCCTGGTCTATTCTTTTGCATCCTCTTTTTTGAAAGAACATCTTTTAATTTTATGATGAATTAATCCATTATTACTAATACCTCCAATAACATGGATGTTATTTCCCCTGGATCCAACCGCAAATGTAGTGCCTTTTTTAGAGCGACCTTATCTTCTTGAAATATGGAGATTAAAATTGATTTCATCCATATAAAGAATTGGCACACTTTGGGACTGAAATTCTAATAAAGCTACTGCTTAATCCTTACGTTTC